CTGCATGCCCCCCACAGGGGATTGGGCCCACAACCTGGGCATATCCAGGATCGAATTGGTGACTTCTTGGTGCATGAGTCGACACTCAACCACTGAACCACACCAGCTAGGCTCTCTTTCTTTTTGCTTTGCTCAGTCTCTCAATCTGTCTCTGTTCCTGTTTAAGTCTCCCTCTATTTTCATCTGGTTTCTATCCCACCAGCCCCTCCACTACTTCCACTCCCTCTCTGGAGGCCTCCTCTCTCACGCTTGGCACATTCTGGTTTCCACTTCCACTTCACCGCCCCTCCCTAGAGCCAGCTACTGCTGCATTGGGTGCCCAGGACCAAGGGAGTGGACTTGAGCCAAAGTTACGGGTCAGGGAGCAAGCAGGAGTGGGAAGGGCACCCCCTAATCCTTCTGGAATGTGGGTGGGGCTGGCCCCACAGAGTGGCAGGGGAAGGTAGTCCCCCCCCCAAAGACTGGCCCTGACTGCATTTCCCCCCCCTACTCCCCAGATACTCCCCATAGGCCCCTGGAGAAGCAATACCATCCCAGACTCCCACACAGGGTCCCTCACAGCCCCAGACAGACTAATCCACCTTCTCCCTGGACACTCACAGGCAGCACCCTCCTCCACAATCCATCAGCTTCCTGCTCTGCAACCCAGAAACCCCAATACACAACACCCCCATATGCCCCTAAACCAGGTCCTCACACTTTGGTCCCACCACAACTTCAGTCAACTGTGTGACCCTCAAATCGAACTGCACTTCCACTCTCAGCCTGGGCCAAGAAGATCTCCCTTAAGAAACCCGAAAAATTGGGCACTCAGGTCTTGGAAGACTTGCTCACCCAAAGCAGTGTCTTCCCCAGACACGCCCAGCAATCAGCTACAGACTCTCCCACACAGGCCCACTGGAGCCCAGCCAGGTGATTCTGGTGGGGACAGGTGCAGGGGAGTGTGGGCACATGTGTGGGCTGCTTGCCCCACAGCTCTTCCCTGAATCCTTGCAGCTGCCAGGGGAGGGGGCACTCTCCATTTGTGTCACTCCTGTGTTGCCATGGAGATGCCACAAGCCCCTTGTGCCTGCAGGGAGCTTGTGTGTGGGTGACAATATCTTGTGTATAGGGCCAAGGTCAAGTGGACAGGGCACTTGTGGAAGTTAGCTCCTCCTGATACATGTCCTATGCCTAAATGCATGTTTTTGGTGTGTGCTTGCCTGTTGTTGCATTTACCACCCTGCCCGTGCCTCAGTTTCCCTCAGCAGAAGGGTACACCATCCAGGTCTCTGGAGCATCATGAAATAGGGAAAGAGTAAATATGTGTGTGATGGGAGAAGCAGGCTTATGATTTCCACAGGCCTTCTGCCCAGGTGCAGGTGGGGGCATATACACAAGGTCTGTGTCTTCTTGTGTCCCCTAAGGTCCTACTCTGCAGCCCATCATGTGTGCATATAGTTTGTGGGGACTGAGGTCACTGCCTGGCCTTTATACTCCTGGGATGGGGGCCTGGGCAGGTGCAAAAGATTCAGCCTCCACAATCCTGGGCTGTGAGTCACAGGCAGCTCTAACAGGTGTCCCCCTGCCCTTCGCATCCTCCTCCACATGGAGACCCTCTCCTAGAAACAGGAGAGACACTAACCTCAGGACTACTAAATCTCCTATGTTCACAGTCTGCAGCCACCTGGGGCCTCCTAGGACCAGAAGCCCCCATCTCCTGCAGGTGGGGACTGGGTGGAGGGCAGTCTAATTCTTCCTTTTTCTGGCTCTGGCCTCCTATGTCTCTCCTATTCCCCATGACGCCCTGGCCACTGCTGATGCATAGTCTGTGTGCCCACCACAGGGACATGAATCATGCCACCAGCCATGGACACACATGCTTTGTGAGTCCCAGCCCATCAGAGTCACGCACACCCAGCCCTGTCCCCATATCCACATCCCATATGCACAAGCTTTGGGGTCTGTGCACAACCCCCTGTATTCTTCCACATAGGGTGCCATGCAAGCATGTTTTCATGTGTGCTCACCCCCCACCTCCACTCCAGTTTGTACACACACACACACACATACACACACGAGTCCCATGCACACACAGCCAAATACATGTGCACACACACACAGTCCCATTTTTGTGTTCACACAAGCATGTATCCCCAGGAATCCTTGTTTCTCTACCCACGAGTCCACTGCCCACGGGCACATGTGCACCACACCTGGTAACTCGAACACATTCAGTTTCTGCCTCCCCCACCCTGGCTCAGGACCCTGCAGATTTGGGGCAGGACCATCCTGCTTCCGCGCGCCACCCCCCCCCCCCCCCAGTGGCCAGCAGGTGCACCGTCCAGTTCCTGCCTGAATGGCTAGGAGCGGGGGTGGGGGTGGGGGGTGGGGGTGGGGGGGTGGTAATTACGCGGCCGGCGCCCGGGTCTCCCTCACACAAGCGTCTTTCATCCCGATCACTCCTGGGCCCCGACCCTCATTACTGCCTCCCGCCTGTTCTTTTGCCTGGGTCGCGGGTAGGACCCACCATCCTGTGGGCGGGGCACTGCGGAGAGGACAGAGGGGGCGGTGTGAGAGTGAGTAGGCCACACCCCCATCTCCGTGGTGACGCCACCGAGTGGAGAGGCGGGGCATCCAGCCGGGGGACCATTGTAGGGGTTTCAGGAGGTGGGCACCCCCACCCCGGAGGCCCTCAAGGGTGGGGCCATTTGTGAATACGCCTACCGGGTCCTTCCGGCCTAATCCCCCATCCCCGCCCGGCAGGCGGCAAGCACCGCGTTCCCGGCCACAAATAGCAGCCTCGCCCCCGCCCGTGGCTATTTTGAGCCTCCTCCTCTCCGGCCACACAACCCTCCGGCGCTCGGGCTGAGGCGTGGGGGGAGACAGGGACCCCCTCCCACGCTGGACAAGAGGCCGGCAGCTGGACTGCCTGGCGGGACCCGGGTCAGGGTGATAGGCCGCAGCGCCCCCTAGTGTCTGCGGGGTGTATGTGACGCAGAGGCTGCGGCCGGGATGAAGGTGATCCCAGCCCCGTGAGAGCACCCCACCGGAGACACAATGTTCTGGTTACAGTTGAGTCAGAGGGACATGCAGACACAGGTTACCACAGAAACAGGTACGGAGACAGGTTACACATCTGTGATACAAGTACACAATCTCCACACAATGCCCGATGCAGGTGCACCTAGTGACAGGTATCCACAGGTATGGGTCCACACCATGGTGGGAAACCAGGACAGATGTGGGTACCCATGCAGTGCGTACTCAGCAACACTATCATAGTAAACACTTAATAACTGTGTGCTGGTGGAATGGGTGAATGAACAGAGCATTTCCCAAAATTAGAAACCAGGACAACTTGGAACACAGAAGGTGGGTCAGGGTGGGCTGGGGGAGGGGGACAGAGGGTGATCAGGGTTCGGTGACTGCAGGGAACCCTTGGCCTGGGCTGGGGCAAGTAGCCTAGCAGCCAACCTGATTTTTCTGGGGAAGCAGATCAGAAAGGGTGGGCGGGAATTGCTCCTGGGCTAGGGAGCCCGGGCCCCAGATCCCCTATGGGCAGCCAGGAGGCAAGGGAGCTTAGTGTTGATACATTTCTCTGCTCCTTTTAATAACCACCCTGTGTGAGTGACTGATACAGCAGAGGGATGCTGAGAATTGTATAGAGGGGCTGTGATGTGGGGGAACAAGATGCAGAGGGGACTGCGGTGAGTCTTAGGTTGGTGCCTGGGAGAGGGCTTCCCAACGACTTTGTCACAGGAGGCATCATCAGTGCCCAGGCATGTCCTTGCTGCATCAGCTAGATTCACCTGAGGGGTCTAGAGTGGGGCTGAAACTTCTCTGGGGTGGTCTTCTCTGAAGACTTTCTACTCAGGGATGAAGCTTGCATCTTTGGCCTGGTAGGAAAGGGTCTGCACTAACTCCTATACCCCGTGGAAGGGTACAGGGCCACAGGAGGCTGCATGAGCAGAGGCCTGGGCAGGAGGCAAGTGTTAGCTACAAGAGGGGCTCTCCAAGTCATGAGGATCCCTGCAAAGATAGTTCTCCTATTAGAGATCTCGGGATGCCTTTAAAAGACAGGAAAAGCGAAGCAAGAGAGGAGCAGAGTGGCGCTGGTTCCCCATGGGTAGTGAGTGGGTCCTGGGTGTACTGGGGCATGGATGCTGGAGCATCTGGTGGAGGGGAAGACAGGGCTGAGCTGCGTGTAGAGGTACAGAGGGTGACTAGAGGACTGGGCCCAGTTGTGGGCTTGGGAGGCCATGTCGGAGACAGCTTGCTAGAGCTGGGATGCACAAAAGTATTTGGCCTGGAAAGTGTTCGCGTGTGGGTGAGGGTTGGAGGGTTGGATGGGAATTAGATATGAGTATAGGTCGGGGTTTGTAGGCAAACTGGGTTGGGTGAAGTTGGGATGTTCCAAAGTTGGGACGTAGGAAGAATTGGGATCGTAGTGAATATTAGGGTGCACATAAATGAGCTTGTCTCAGTGTTGGGGTTTTGGTGGACTTTGCGGCAGATCGTGTGAAGTGATGATGTATTCGAAGCTTTGAGGTCTTGGTTATTTGGGCAAGTATATCAGGACTGTTGTCGGGGTTCAGATGAACTTGGGGTGTCAGAACTGGGCCTTGGTGTCTATGGGAACCTGGGTGAGGTCGATACGTTGGCGATTCACAGTAAAGGTCAGAGTTCCACCAGAGGCTAGAACCTCTGGCAACAGCGGCCACAGGCCCCTTTGTTCTTCGCCGGGGGAGGGCAGGCGGAAGTGGGTCAGCCCCGCCCCGCCGCGCGCCTGTCCGCCCCCTGCTCTCAGGCTGGCGACCGCGGATTTGAGCGTCCCCGCCAATCACCGCGCCCGTCGCCAGCGCGCGAAGGGGGCGTGGCATAGGCAAGCCCGGCCAACAGCTCATGAATATAAGGCGCGGCTACTGCCAGTGGGGCATGGGATTGGCCAGCGCAGCGCAGGGGGCGGCATCTGGGGGCGGAGCCTGGCGGCGGCGTACATAAGGCCAGGCACCCGGCGACCCCCTCACTCGCGCGTTAGGAGGCTCTGGTCGTTTTGCTCCGTCGTCTTCCCGCCTGCGTCAGGGACCTGCCCTACTCAGTGGTGAGGGTCCTGGCGGCACCGGCTCCAAGGGCCCCGGGCGGCGGGCGGCCTGCGGCCGGCCGGATAAGGCAGGGCGGCGGCAGCACGCCCCTGGGCAGGGGTGGTGCCGGGGCGGGCCCAGGGTGGAGTCCGCCCCGCCGGCGGCGTGGGGCAGCGGTAGACCGGGCCGAACTGCGGCCGGGGGGCGTCCCCTAGGTGGCCTAGGTTTGCCCAAAGCGGGGCGCCGCCGCAAAATGGCGGCCGCGAGCGCGAGGCTGCGCCTAGCGAAATGGCGGGAGCACCGAGGGCCCGGATCGAGTGGCGCAGGGCGCGCGCAGAGCGCATGCGCATGGCGGGGGCGGGCCTGGGGGCGGGGCCGATCCCGGCCCCAGCTTACCGGGTTTCCCGTTGGATTTGCCCGAGGGGAAAGCAGTCCCGTCCCCGTGTCCCACCTCCCAGCACCTCAAGTTGGGTTTTGAGTTGCCCAGTTCCGGGCTTGTTTCCGGAGCCAGGTAGAAGAGGTTCTCCCAGCCCAAAAAGGTCCAAGTCAGTTCGGGCCCCACATGCCCACTCCACGTTGGAATCTCCTGGGTCGGAACAACGCCCCAGTTCCCCACGGAAGTTCAGTCCCGGGCCACCCTCACAGGCGCCCTATAGTGGACCAAGCACTTTGCCACTCCGCACCCCAATGGTCCTGTTAGGAATTAGGTACCTGTTTGCAAAGGGGAGAACCAAGGTGCATTCGGCGGGTGATAAAAGAAGCAGATCTCAACTTGTGTTTAGTGTCCAGTCCTAAATGTCTCCTAAGGGCATCATTTGGGGCACATATCTAGGGCTGCACTGAGTAGTACACAGAACCGGGTTTACTCTCGGAGCCCTGGGTGAGGTCGGGCCCCAGATTGATGAAGGAATTAACACTTAAAAATTGAGTTCTGGATGTGGGCTTCCATGATAAATGGCAGAAAGACAACTTTTCATTGTGTCCCCAGTGAGCATATATTATTTTTATAAAGTGAAATAGGAGGGAGGGATGAGCGATAAAGCCCCTGGAGGATCTCAGTGAGAATTTCATCTATTTGCCACAGGCCACCATGGCATCAGATGAAGGCAAGCTTTTCGTTGGAGGGCTGAGTTTTGACACCAATGAGCAGTCGCTGGAGCAGGTCTTCTCAAAATATGGACAGATTTCTGAAGGTGAGACTAGTGCTGTACTGGCAGCAGCTGAGAACTGCTCTTGGGGCGGTTAGGTGCCAACTGCAGATCTCTCTCCCACAGTGGTGGTCGTGAAAGACAGGGAGACCCAGCGGTCACGAGGCTTTGGGTTTGTCACCTTTGAGAACATCGACGATGCCAAGGATGCCATGATGGCCATGAATGGGAAGGTGAGGGGCAGCTGCTCTGGGGATGCAAAGGGTTGCAGGGCAGGGAGGCTCAGAGGCTGACCTGAGCCAACCTCTTGGTCTCCGCAGTCTGTGCTGACCTGAGCCAACCTCTTGGTCTCCGCAGTCTGTGCTGACCTGAGCCAACCTCTTGGTCTCCACAGTCTGTGGATGGGCGACAGATCCGAGTTGACCAGGCTGGCAAGTCGTCTGATAACCGATCCCGTGGGTACCGAGGTGGCTCTGCTGGGGGCCGGGGATTCTTCCGTGGGGGCCGAGGCCGGGGCCGTGGGTTCTCCAGAGGTGAGTGCCACACTTACGGCCTGAGGTCCTTGAGACCATGGTGGGAGCACTGCTGGAAGGAGCTGGCACTCACTTGTTCTTCCTGTCTGTAGGAGGAGGGGACCGAGGCTATGGGGGGAGCCGGTTCGAGTCCAGGAGTGGGGGCTATGGGGGCTCCAGAGACTACTACAGCAGGTGAGGGCATGGTCCTGCCTGGGTGTGTGGCAGGCTTCTTTTGGAACGTTGACACAGGGTTGGGGTAAGTAGACTAAGGTGCCCTCCAGCACCCACACATATCCTTCCTACAGCCGGAGTCAGGGTGGTGGCTATGGTGACCGGAGCTCTGGAGGGTCATATAGAGACAGCTACGACAGTTATGGTAAGTCACGCTCTGAGGGCCTTTGGTGGGAGCTCAGCAAGCCTTGGCACCCTCTGTGAGCGACGCTCAGACCTTGTCATTGTGCTTGCCTATAAAGGATGAGATTGCCCTCTCAGGTCTCCATGCCAGCAGCCATTTCTACGACAAAACATAAAAGCTAGACCAGACTGACCAAGAAGGAAAGGGAGACGAGGGGCCTGCCAAGCAGGCAGCATAAGTGCATGTGCGGCCGCCCAGCCCCGCCGCCCTTGGCTGTGGGGGGGGTTGGTTGCTCCTGAGGCTGCAGGGCCGAGCCCTCCAGGTCTGGACCCGGGAGTGGAATGCTGCCTCTTGTTGCGTGCTTCAGTGCTTTTACACTGTACCTGCTTCTTGTTCTCAGCTACACACAACGAGTAAAAATCCTTCCTGCTCAAGATCGTCCTTCCAATGGCTGTATATTTAAAGATTTTGGGAGCTTCGCTGAATCGTTAATGTGTAGTGAACACACCTCCTTGTACCCACTTTTGTAGTCTTATCAGTTCTGATCTTGTCAAACACAGCCTGACTGCTTCTGACCCCCCAGATGGCTTCATTACTAGACTACTTTTTAAGGAAGCGCTGTCCGTTTTTAAGGGTTTTAAAAACGTTTTGAAAAGCACTTCAGATTTTACTTTTTTGTTTTTACCATGAGCCATGAGTTTTTTAGAAAATCATTGGGGGTTGTGTGGGTTTTTTTGGTTTTGGTTGTGTTGTCTTTTTTTACTTCCCTTTTTAGTGGGGTTGGCCTGGTGAAGTTGGGTCCCCCGATTTAAGTCTCTTTGGGTGGACTCAGTCCGCTCTTTATTGGAAGCTGAGCGAGCCATGGCTTTTTCCAACTTCATGTACTGTTTCTGAGTATAGCATGGTAGGACCTGCCTTGGGTGGCAGCAGAGGTGCCTGGCCACCTGGGCCCCACCTGTACAGCCCATCTGCTGTGTATGACTTACAGTAGACTTGGAGATGTCCCCAAGAGGTTCTTGAAAATGTTTATTTATATTGTCCTTTTTTACTGGAAGACATGCATATCCCATTGATGTTGTATTTGAAGTGGTTAAGGAATTCTTGTACACAGTTTTTTTGGCTTTACGAAGCCGATTAAAAGACCGTCTGAAATGAACCTTGCTCTGACAATTTCCCTTTCATTGCTCAACACACTCCTGCTTCGAGCTCTTGGCACTCAGACCTCAGCAGAGAGGGCAATTTGAGAAGCAGGTCTTCGAGTCCTGCCTGAGACCCATGGAGAGCTAGACCAGGAAGGCACAGTTAGCTGACGCTGGCGGGCCCCTATGACAGCCGACTGCCACCAGTCCTGGTTAGGTGAGCAGGTGGCTGACGGGAGTGGGTAGGTTGGACTTTGAGGCAGCCCTGGGAGGCTTCTGGCAGTGACAGCCGGAAGGCTCGATGGGGCGGGCACCTGACGACCCCACTACCATAGCTTAGAAGCAGGCCAGAGAGCAGACGGCAAGCAGTGTCCCTGGGCGACTGCAGACTGACTGCTCATTAGCTAGCTCTGCTGTTGCTTCACAAGTTCTGAGAGTTCTCCGCTAGCCTATGGAAGCTGCAGCCCCTCGGAGGACAGAAGTGTTGTGCGCCCAACAGAAACCTCTGAGACGCAAGCTGCTCCCTTGGCTAGCTCATATGTGGAAATAGCCCTGTAATTCGAGGTAACTCCTTTTGCTCGTGTCCACATCCCTCCTCTTGTCAAGAGCTCATTTGAAAGTAAAATTATGTGCCTGGGGAATGTTTCTTTGACTGTTTTTTGCTTTCTCGTTTTCTTTCTTTTTCTAATCAAGCTAGAACTAAAGTCAGACCCCGGCCATTGAGCCCTTCCCCGCCTGCAGCCAGGCGAACAGTCCAGGAAGTTGCACCTCACGAGTAGGTTTGATCCTTAGCAGGATTGGAGAGCACTGAACATCCTGCCTTCAGATTTTTTTGTTCGTCAGTTGACAGTCTTTTCCAGACCTCCTTAAGTCACACTCCTCTAACTGTAGCTCTGATGTCTGCCTGTTGCCTCCATGAATTTTTTTTTTTTTCCCAGAGCCCTCACCATTCTCTAAGCAACTCCAACCTGTGCGTAGTAGCTGGCTCTGCTTAGGGATGGAACGCTGCCTGGCCAAGGCTCAGGCTTGCCCTGGTCACACCAGCCCGTGACGGGGCCTCTGCCAGGATGGCCCGATGACTAGCTTGAAACCCTCCTAGGAGCTATAGATGGTTTAGGGGGAGGTGGGGTGGGACAGTTGTGAGCATGTCCAAAACCCTGGGGGTAACACTCCTTTGCTTTGGCAGGTTGAAGGGAAGCCAGTGCAACTCGGAAGGGTGGCCCAATAGCAGCAGTGACTTGGGGTCCTGTCCCAAGAGGGACTTCACCTGAGAACAGGAGTCAGAGGTGCAGCTCCCTGTTCTTGAAGCCTGTCACCTGTAAGTGTTTTTGTGGGGGATGACACATGGCAGTGCCTGGTCTTTCCTGTGGGTGTTCTCTGGTTTCCGGTCCCACTCACAGTGTGGGTGGGGGCAGCTTTCTGTGTGTGCCTCCTGCTGAAACCAGCTCTAGTTCTCCCTTCACCCTTTTTTCATTTTTCCAGCAGGTGCTTTATTGGCAAGGTTGGAGTGAGTGCAGGGCTTCAAGTCACTCCGGGAAGACAGGTGTTTGGCAACTTGCACGTGGCCAGTCCTCACCTGCAACAATTTGAGAGGATGTGGAAGTCAGATTTGAATAAAGGACTGGTGTGTCTACCCAGAAATCTGAGTCTGGTTTGGGGTGTGGCTGAGGAGGAGGGTGGGTGGGGAGGATGTGGGGGTCCTCTAGAGAAAGCCTCTTCTGGCTTAGATGCAGGGCACTAGCTGGATCCAAACCAGACAAACTGGCCAGTTACTTGTCTTCTTGGGGTTGGTCTGGCGGCACACAGCCTGAAAGAGGAGGTGGTGGTCCCTGGGCCCCCTGATCAGAGATGTGCACCTGTCTCAGGGCCCCGGTGAAGGTATTGGCACAGAATGACCTTGGGCACCTTCATCTGTGCTGCCCACAGGGTCAAGCTTGCTTCCTAAGCTGGAGACTTCCTGCTCTGGTTTGAGGTGCAGAAAGTTGGGATTGGACCCTGATTCAGAGGCCTTGGGCCTGTCTGCTCAACTAGCAGGGTGGGGAGGATGGTGGCAGCAGACCCAGGGTTGGGTCAGTGCAGTGTGCTCAGGATGGCTGAGGTGCTCACCACCACAGCCAAGGGTGATTTCCAGGCTAGAACAGGCGCAGAAGCATGAGAGCTGGGTGGGGACTGGAACAGCAAGAGTTTCTAGGGTCCCATGGGAGAGGCCCCAAGTGGACAGTGCTGAACTTGGCATGGTGTTTTACCCCTCTGTGTGATTGGGAACCTTTTTCTTGGGAGGGCGCCAGCTCCCCTGTGGCCCATAACCCTCTCTCTGGGCACCCAGCATTTTTTGGTCCCCTGGATGGCTGTAGCTATTGATTGCTCTCTGGGCCAGAAAGGACAGTCTGCTGTGGTGCGCGAGACCTAACTGCGTGAACAGCTGGTGGGGCGCAAAGCACTGTGGGAATCGCCCAGGACAGTGCGAGGGGAAGCCAGGTAGGCGGTCAGTGGGCGGGGCATTTCAAAGGATCAAGCCCCGCCCCCGTAGGTGATTGGTTGGCCCCGCCCCATGCCAGTGAGTGATGGGCTTGCGGGGGCGGGGCATGGCCACCGCTTCCGCAGGGCGATGGGGCTGTGTGTGCTGCTGTCGCTGCTCCTGTCGACGTTGCTGCTGTCACCGCTGCTCTGCGGAGGCCAGGAGGCTACTTCCTCGTTGCCGCACCCTGCGCAGGCTACGCTCTCGCCACGGCAAGTTGTGATGAACGGGAGCCAGTCAGGCGCGTCACACAACCACACACACCCGTTGATGCCGGGCTCCCCGGGCTCGCCGCTGTTGCGCTCTTTCTACGTGCTTACTGGCTTCATTAGCCTGGCAGCGCTCTACTTCCTCATCCGGGCCATTAGGTAAGTCAGACCCTGCCGCCTCCCTGGCACGCCAAATCAGCGTGCGCCTCGCGCCTCACGTGCTTTGGCAGGAGCGTCCCACACCTCCGGAGTGGGTGTGAACGGCGCCTATCGGCAGGGGTCCGGGTGGGTGGTAGTCAGTCATGTGGTGCCTTGGTGCCTTGGTGCCTGGTAACGCTGGGGCTCCGATGTGGGTTTCTCGGTCACAGCAACTCAGGCTGGACATTATGGATGGGGGAGGGCGTGCGCCCGCTATATGTCTCTGCAGTTCCTGTGCCAGGCAACGCCCACCAGCCCAACCTGGGCCTGCAGTCGCCATCTGCCGCACCCTCCCCTTTAAGTTCCCCAGCCTAGAGAGTGGAGAGGAAGGGTCTGCTGGGCAGGGCCCGCCAGAACCAAGTCTTCATTCTCCGGCTCAGCGCCGGGGCTGGCCATAATCAGTTTCTTGGTTCCACTGATATTCCCCCAAGAGAGTTGAACACTCTTTTACCTTCCCCCGTGGTCCAACTGCCCTGTGAAGTTCTGGTTCAGTCCCCTGGCTTCCCTGTTTCACTTCTTGCCCGGGTCTGACCTCCAGAAGGCCTTCGTCACATAGAGCTGACCACGTTGTTCATATGTTTTAAAGGCCCTTTTTATTTTATTTTAATTTTTATATTTTTTCAGATAGAGTGGGAGAGAGAGAGAGAGAGAGAGAGAGAGAGAGAGAGAAACATCGATGTGAAAGGGACACATCGAGTAGTTGCCACCCGCACGACCCAACCAGGGCCCGGGACAAACTGCAACCGAGGTAACCGCCCTTAGCGGGAACCGAACCCGGGCCTCTCTCTACCGCTGATCCAAACCTGCCAGGGCTAAAGGCCCTTTTTGTCCCCCACTGACACTCCTGTGGGTACACAGTGCTCTTGTTCCCTTTGAATACTTGGTCTTGCTGCTTCAGCTGCAGAAGCCCCCCACCCCCCTCCTTTCCCAGGTGGCCTGGTGGTGGGCAGGGGCAGGATTTTGGCCTGAGAAAGGTAGTCTTCAGTTCAGTGTCTCAGTTACACCCTCACCGCTGTCTGAAACTCCCTTTTCTCATCAGTAGAGTGGGATAACAGCATTCCCCTGGAAGGGCCCTGGCCATGTTGCCAGGGGAGGCAGCAACCAATCACAGTGACTTAGGAGGCAAAAGAAACACAATTAGACCAGTAAGCTTCACAGCAAAGCTTTGGGGGTTAGGCAGAGGAGGTGGAGAGCAGAGACAACAGAGAATCATGGGGGAAGGCAGGAAGCGGGATTGGGTGTCATCCGCTCCTGGAGGTGACCTAAGATAGCCACTGATCGTGACTGGGACTGCTTCCAGGTTGAAGAAACCCCAGTGGAGAAGCTACGGCCTCCTGGCCAACACTGAGGACCCCACTGAGATGGCCTCGCTGGACAGTGATGAGGAAACCGTCTTTGAGACCAGGAATCTGAGATGGTATCAAAGTCCTCTCCCACCTCTAGAAGCTCTGGGTGGGTGGGTAGAGCAGGGCTGGAGAGTTAGGAAGACCACTGATTCTTGAGGTCATCCACATGCTGCCAGGCTGTGTGGCCTTGGGCAAGACATGTGCCCCTCCCAGCCTCAGTTTCCCATTTATTTCAGATGAGAAGGGGGCCTGCAGTCTTGAGTCAGTGTTGTGGGCCAACCCTGAAGGCCAAGATCAATGTCAGAGATAGAGAATTAACTGCAGAGGGGATGGTTGGGTGGTCTTTCCATGGCCATAGCCCCAGGAAGAGCATAGCAGGCAAAGTGAATGGCAGGAAGGAAAGAAGGCAAGACTAAGGACCCAGGGGCTGCTGCGTGCAGAGCTGGGACTGGGCTTGAGCAGGAAGTGATGTCTATTCAGCCCAGCTTGTTGGGGGCACAGGTGGGGAGGCCAGGAGACCAGGGGGTGGTTCTGGCTTTCCAAGCCTCCCAGGGGAGGCATTGCTATGATGTGATAGTCCTTTTGGTCTCCTCCACCTCTTCTAGCTAGGGGACCCCTTCTCCCCACAAGGTGTGAAGTTGGGCAGGGCCTGGCAAGGCTGGGGGAGGTGGACCCCAGTGGACCTGGGGGCAGGGGCTAAACAGGTGAGAAGGCTCCTGGTCACTTGGAAGGTGAGCCTCAGGCACAGTTAGGGGGAGTGGATCAGGGTAGGCCCATTGCTCCACATCTCTCACCCCACCCCTCATCTTTCAGATATTCAGGTCAGGTCGGGGAGACAGTGTTCCCAACAGCCCTGGGGGAAGGACAAGAGACAGGGCCCACTCCCAGTGCCTACACACCCGCCAATTCTCCTGCTGGCCTGAGGGCTCAAGTGGGACCTGCCCAGCCTGCCTGAAGTCACCTCAGCCCTCCACCACCACAGGACTACACGGGATGCCAGGTGCAAACCAGAGGGGCCCCCGGCAGCCCCATCCAGGATTCTGAGACCCTCTGGTTGGACTGTGATTTGTGCTGCTGACCTTCCCTGTGGGGACACTGCTGAGGTCTGGCAGGCAGGTGGGCTGAGGGTCCTGTCTGGGATTGCCTTCCCCACTGGCCTGGGGACAATAAAGGCAGCAGTGGTTCTATAGTTGGCACCCAACTCTACACTGGGCCAGACCTGGCATCCTGGCTCACAGACAGGGTGGATGGCAAACAGGGCTTGTTCCGGGCCTCGTTTTTCTTATCTGTGATCACGCTGGGCTTCTTTGGCTTTGTCCCCAGCTGTCCAGAGGGCCCAGGAAGTTCCTTGGGGTAGATGGTGATGGGAGGACCTGCCAGTCATTGCCTCTGGGCCTAGAGAAATCTATTCATCCATCAAAGGCACTATATAGGGGCTCCCTGTTTTGTGCTGCCTTCAGCCTGGGACCTCACAAGGGCCATGTATTCTGGGATCCTTGCTTCACTCTATTCACACCACCAGCACCTTTGGGACTGTAATGTAGAGGGACTGGATCTTCCTGCAGCCTCAGGACCCCTTTGCCCACCATGCCCCTCCCCTGTCAGACTCCCATGGAATTATCGATAAACCTACCCCAGTACCTGACCTCATTCCCTGTGAAGGGCTTGATGGGTTCCTCTTTGGGCTTTGTTTTTCCTTCAAGGTGCTGTGTCTGGGCAGGGTCCAGCTCTGTCACCCCTGTCTTTTGCAGTTCCCAACCATCTCAGGTCTCCCCCCAGGCCATTGGACAGAGCCACCATGACCATGTTGTTATGATGAGCAGCCACTAGGTGGTAGCCTTGTGCTGTCCAGCGTCTGTCCTGCTGGCTTGCCAGGCCCAGGTGTGGCCTGAGCCCAGCCAGTTGTACAGATGGGGAAATAGGTCTAGGTGGAGGCCCTTTTTTTCACGCCTCTTGCTGAGCCTCACCTTGTCCCATGTCCACTGTGGGATGGGCCAACCTGTCTCCTGAGCCTGCCCATCTCAGCCCCACTGACCCTCCTTGCTGGGGCTGAGCCTGGGTCCCTGCCTGTTGCAAGGTGCGGAGGAGCCATCTCTGCCACAGTCAGCTAGCTCATCACTCCTATCTCCATCTCTGGTCTTCTGAGCTGGTCCCTAGGCTGCTTACCTGGGCGTCTGTCTGTGCCCCAACTCTGCTCAATGCTCACACTTGCACTTCCCTCTCCAGTGCCCAGCTGCTACCTCCAAAAAGTCCTTCCTCCTGACTGCTCCCTGCCTGGATTCCCTACCATTCTTTGAGAGGGTCTTGCACTGAGGGACCAGCAAATCCTCCAGGGAAGTTTGAGGAAGTGAGGCCAGAGTCCCCTGGAGGCCCCAGATACTACACCCTCTGCCTCAGGCTCTAGCTGTTCCCTCCCTATGTGCTCCCTCCCTTCTCCACATATCTCTGCATTTCTGTTTTCTCTATTTCTGAACCCCTGCCTGCTTCCCTGTTTGTGTCTTTCCATCTTTCACTTAGTCTCCCTCCGTTTCTGTCTGTCTCCCTCTGCTCTCCATCTCTCTCTCCCTGTCTAACCCACTGGGACATGCTTTTAACAGGTGCAGAGACACCGTGTGGGTTCCCCCACCCTGTGATCTGGGCCCCTCTCCCACAGCTCTGAGTAATTTCTTGAGCTTCAAAAGGCGTGTTAATTACTCTGATGAGGTCAGGAGAGACTCTATATCTGCTATCCTGAGCTGGGAACACACTGCATACCCTCTACCCTGGCTGCCTTCTGCCCACCCCCATGGGGTGGGGAGGGGTGCCCCTTACTTCCAGGTCACTGTACCTGTCAGCCTCACTACATTCCCTGCATTAGTGACAAGTAATTGGCAGCCCCCTCCAAGGTTAATGCAATATAAGCAGAAAGTTTTCAGTGGTTAAAAGCCGGGAGAGGAGCCTGTCAGCATGAGATGAAAGGCCCAGGTCCTGGAGGCTTCAGGGCCCGTGTGTACGTGCATGCATATAAGCACAGGAGGGGCTTCCGGCACCATCCTCCATGACTCACACACACAGGCACAGGACACATACAGCACGTGACACATAAGGGATAGACAGCATGCTCTCCCTCCCTGGAGCATGCCCACATCTTTCTCTTCTTCCCCACAGTCATGAACCTCCTAAACTCTAGGACCCCACAAGACTTGCAACCAGGAGGACAATGGGCAATGGCAGCTCATTCTGGGCTAATCCTCTGTCCCCAGGGCCCCCTTTTCTCTGACTTCTCAGTGAGCCAAAGCAGCTCAGCCTAAGTTTATTTTTTTCTATAACATTTCTGGAGAGCCAAAGTAACCCTGTCTAATCTCTCTCCTGTTGCTTTTTCTGCATAGGCCCTTTCTTGTTTCACTGTCCCCAGCTTTATAAACATTCTTAAAAAATTTTTTTTAAGGGATAGACAGAGGACACACGTGCACGTATACTGCCTGCAACAAATCCAGAGTCTGGGCCAGATCAGGGTGCACAACCCATAGCCCAGCACCCTTTAGGCCTTCCCACCACCTCTATCCCCCCTCTATATGCCCACGGGACATGCAGCAAACCTGTCCCGTCAGCCGTGGGCAGCTGTGGTCTCTTGGTTGACCACTGTGTGGCTTCTCCATCTTGGGAATGGGGTGGGGGGAGCTGGACGCCTCTGGCTCATTAAAGGGGCAGCTTTTGGCTGGCTGCTTCAGGCCAGCAGTGGGTCGTAGTCAAGTTGTCCTCCAGGAGGTGGGGGCTCTTATTTTTTTTTAAATGTGTTTTTATTGAATTTTAGAGAGAGAAGGGGAGAGAAAGAGAGAGAAACATCTGTGTGAGAGAGAAACATTGATCAATTGCTTCTCATATGCATCCTGACTGGGGACTGAACCCACAACCTGGGCATGTACACTGGCTGGGAATTGAACTGGCAACGTTTCAGTGCATGGGACGACAGCCAACTGAGCCACACTGGCCAGAGCAGGAGATAGGGTTTCTTCTGCTGGCTCTGATGTGGGCTCCCTCGAACATGGCCCCAGCACCCAGCAGGTCTGCAATTCTCTCACCTAGGATCAGCAGGTGAGGCAGCTGTGCCGTCCTGGTGTTCCCAGGACCCCAGTCCTCTCTGATCCCCCATCCTCTCTGGTGGTTCAGCACCCCTCATTCTCCTTGGAGGAGCCTGAGTCCTCCCTGCCCCCACCTCTATGATGTCCTGGTCCTGAGCAAGTGTGGCTGTACAGATGCACCCAGAGCTGTGCTATGTAGTACAGTAGCCACATTGACTGTTTACATTTACACTCAAAGTAAGAAATTAAAATTCCTGCTCATCATACTGGCCACATTCCATGTGCCATGTAGCAATGGGGAGCTGGTGGCACTTGCATGGGACAATGAAGATCTGGACCATTTCTGTCCTCAAAAGAAGTCTAGCCCCAGACTTGCAGATGGTCGCCATGGAAGATGGGTCTCTGTCCAGGCCTGGGGCTGGGAGGATGGGAAGGAAGGAGGGAGGAGGAAACTAGTAGGGGTATGGGGCCTGTTCAGTCACAGGCCTTGCAGTTGCAGAAATCTTAGGTCCAGGCTAAGATTTCAAGGGCCTGGCTGGACACAGGTATGGGAACTTAATTTATCAGCAAGAGAAAGGGATATTTTTATTTTATTTTTAAAAAAATATTTTTATTAGCCCTGGCTGGTTTACTCAGTGGTTAGAGTGTCGGCCTGTGGTCCGGAGAGACCAGGGTTTGGTTCCTGCTAAGGGCACGTACCTCGGTTGCAGTTTGTCCCCGGCCCTGGTTGGTTGTGCGGGTGGCAGCCACTCGATGTGTCACTTCACGTCGATGTTTCTCTCTCTCTCCCTTCCTCTCTCTCCCTCCCGCTCTATCTGTACAAAAAATGGAAAAATATCCTCGGGTGAGGATAAAAAATAAAAAAAAAAAAAAAAAAAAAAAAAAATATTTTTATTAGCCCTGGCTGGTTTACTCAGTGGTTAGAGTGTCGGCCTGTGGTCCGGAGAGACCAGGGTTTGGTTCCTGCTAAGGGCATGTACCTTGGTTGCAGTTTGTCCCTGGCCCTGGTTGGGTCGTGCGGGTGGTAGCCACTCGATGTGTCCCTTTCATGTCGATGTTTCTCTCTCTCTTCCCCTTTCTCCCTCCCGCTCTGTCTGAATAGAAAATGGAAAAATGCCCTCGAGTGAGGATTAAAATATATATATAAATATATATACATATATTTTATTGATTTCAAAGGAAGGGAGAGAGAGAGAAACATTGATGAGGATGAGAGAAACACTGATAGGCTGCCTCATCCATGCTTCTACTGGCAATTGAGCCTGGAAAGCCAGGCATGTGCCCTGACGGGGAATCCAACCGGTGACCTGGTACATGGGACGACGCTCAGCCAACCGAGCCACACCAACTGGGTGATACATTTTTATTTTCAGTGACACAAGCCAGCACCCCCACAGCCTGGGGGAATTCTTGACCCCTTCACCCCAGGTGTGGGCTGGGCTGGTACAGATGCCCTGGCCCTGTTCTGACCAGGGTAAGTGGATTGCCAGGCTTGCTGAGGCCCCCACCCTTCTCTGTCAGAAATCTGCCTGCCTGAGCTGAGGCATCTGAAAACCACTGGAGCCAGAGCAGGCTGTGGATTTGGTCTAATTTATTCTGTAATGAGATATTTATTCCCGCATATTTTTAGCCTTCTTTATGGTGTGGCTTTTGAAGGCTGAGGGATGCAGGACATTGATCCCCGCCCTGGGGACTTGTCCTATGGATGGGATGGCAGGTGATGGGTACTGGGTACTGGGTTGTGGGTAAAGGGTCAGTGGGTGCTGGACTGGGTAAGTGGGTGGTGAATGATGGGTCAAGGGGCAAGTGGGTGCTGAACTCAGGCTAGGGGCCAGATCCGAGTCTGGCTGGGACAAGATCCTCTGAGTCTGGGGCACACCTGTGAGCCCAAGAATATAGACCCAGGTGGATGGGGATAGATCTTCGTCAAAGACTCTTTTCTGGGGCTGACAGAGGACCCTGGATGACCCTGACTCTGACTGAGCATTAAACCCAAAACTTAAACCCTGCTCCCATAGTAGGCCTGAAGTCTCACTTGACTTTAGAGGAAGCATATACTAGAATAATCCCTGATCCCAGCTGATCCCCTTGACTGTTGAGGCTTGAGTCTGGGGTAGCACCCAGCCCTGGGAGGGAACAGGGCCTTGTTCACATCCATAGCTGGCCCCAGCTGGGCAGCTGTTCCTGCGTTTCCATTCCTGCCTTGCCCGGAGCCAGGCTTCAGAGCTGCCCAGACCTCCCCTCCCTGGGCCCCTCCAGGTGCAGAAATATTGAATGGGGGACACATGCCTTTGTTCTTGTCCTTGCTTCAGTTTTGACCTTGAGAGAGGCAAGTACAGAAGAAAAGAGCTTCAGCTCAAATCCTGTCTGAGGAGGAAGAGGTTGCTCTCACCTCGGTGGCTCCTGCATGCAAATGAGCTGAGCCAGCTCTGGCCTTTTCTGAGTAGGTCCCCTCTCCTTGGGGTACCCTGCCCATTCCTCTGTGCAGGTCCAATCTTTCTGGGTCTGAAACAGAAATCATTCATCCCATCTGTGAGGTTCCAAAAAGTAGGAGGGTTCTCCAATAGCAGTGGAGACTTCTGGAAGGGACCCTTTTGCCAGACGATGCTGGGCTGAACCAGGCATACTGGTACTCTGGGCACATGGCAGCACTTTTCTGTGCTTGGGTCCGGCCACCAGGCCTCTGCTTAGGAAGTGGCTGCCACTCTACTTTCCAAAGAGCCAGCCAGCCAGCTGGGCTGAGCTTTTGCTCCAGGGGTGTCCAGAGAGTTTGTCTGAAGGCCCAGGGTACCACTCTTAAGCAGGTTCTTTCCTCCTTAGTCATTGGGCCAGTTCTGGGACAGGCATCTGCAATCGAGTCAGAGGACAGGATCCACAAGCCAGGACAGACTGGGCTGAGTTCCTTAGAGGACAGAGGCCTAAGAACCTTTTCTTGTTGGGGCACAGGGTGGGACAGACTTTGAAAGAGGAACAGAATTTTTTTTTTTTTAATCCTCACCCGAGGACATTTCTTTCCATTTTTTTGTTCAGATAGAGTGGGAGGGAGAGAGAGAGAGAGTGTGAGAGAGAGAGAAACATCAACGTGAAAGGGACACATCAAGTGGCTGCCACCCACATGACCAACCAGGGCCAGGGACGAACTGCAACCAAGCTATGCACCCTTAGCGGGAACTGAACCCAGGTCTCTCTGGACCACAGGCTGACACTCTAACCGCTGAGCCATACCGGCCAGGGTGAGGAACAGATTTTTAATGAGAAGTGAAGGGGAGGTACTCTAGATACAGCCAAGTGAAGACCAGGAAGTGTGGCTGGCAGAGAAGTGGGGGCAAGAAGCTCAGGGGACACGTGGCATATGCCCACAACATAGTGGAGATGTGTGTTTGGGATGGGTCTTGATTGAAGGTTAGTTTGCCCATCTCTTCTCTTGGTCCCTGGGAGGAGCTTCGACTATCTACACGGGGACTTTCCAGTTCAAGAGCTCTTGGTTCTGGACCCTGCAGCAGGCCTGAGTGAGGGAAACAAACCCAGAGAAGTGGAACCTAGTTGGGCACCACTGGTATTTAACATTCAGAACTTGATGACAGCTCAGTCTGGTGAGGGAGATTGTGGTATGAATAAAGACAGATAAGCATAACCAATGGACATAGACAAAAATGCTGGGGGGAGGAAGGCAGGAACAGGAGGAAGTGTCAATGTGAGAAAAAGGAGAAACATCTGTAACAAAAATTAAACAGCAAAAAATAATAATAAAGACAGAACTAGAGGTCAGGCCACCAGAAGTGATCACTCTTGAGTTCATTAGGCTTTTGCTTAAGATAGAGCCTCTGGCCCTGGCCGGTTTGGCTCAGTGGTTAGAGCATCAGCCTGCAGACTAGAGAGTCCTGGGTTCGGTTCTGCTAAGGGCAATGTACCTCGGTTATGGTTTGTCCCTGCCCTGGTTGGGGTTGTGTGACTGGCAACCACTGGATGTGTCGAGACACATCACTGTTTTTCTCTTTCTCTTCCCTGTTCTATCTGAAGATACATGCAAAAAAGTCCTTGGGTGAGGATAAAAATAATAAAATACTTTATTAAAATAAACAAAAAAAGATATACCCTCTGTCCAAACACCCTTCCCATTCTTCTTTCCTTGGTAGACTTCTGCATGGACTTACCTGCTGAAGGTGCCAAGGTAGGACTCCTGTTCCATTTCCCAGATGAAAAAACGGGTCCAAAGAGAAGTGACTGGGGGCAGTATTGGACTTCAGTCAGCCTGACTGCGGAAGTCTCCACCAGGTGGGACTGGAAAGGTGTTGATTTGACCTGGTTTGGGATTTGGGGTCTGGGCAGGGAGCTGACTCAGCCTGGTTTAGGATTTGGTTTTGAACTATGGAGGTGAAATGGGGGTTCGTCATCTCTTCCTCCTGCTCCTTGAACTGCCAGGCTCTGCAGATGGGCATGGTGGCCTGAATGGAGGTGACAGAGAGGAACTCATAGAACCTCAATCAGGGCTTTGTGATGATGGGATCTCTGGGGCAGCACCCTGGGGTCCAAGCAGCCGGACTGAGGACACCTACAGGGAACGTGTCTGGGGCAATTTGTCTGGGGCGGGTTGGGGGGGGGGGGCGTGAAGCAGGAGCCCCCGCCCACCCCCGCGTGGCCGGGGCACGGCAGGAGGGGGCGCCCGCGGCCCTCCCGGCACTTGGGAGGGACAAAGGCTGGAGCCCCGGCCCCTCTCCGGCGGCTGCGGCGGCCGGTACTTAAAGAGTACGCGCGGCCGGGCCGGCGCCCCGGGTGACCCCGGCGCCCCGCCCGCCGCCGCCTGGTTTCTGGGCGCCTGAGGTCGTGCGCGCCCAGGTTGGGTGGCCGGGGATCTCCAAGCACCCGCGCCCTCCTCCCTCCCGCCCTGCTCCCGCCTGCTAGGTAGCAGCGGCAGAGGAGGCGGAGACGGGTGGCAGGCGGCAGCCAGGCGAGCGCAGCGGCCGGACCCGGGCCATGGCGCCCGCGCAGCGCCCGCTGCTGCCTGTGCTACTGCTGCTGCTCCTGCCGCCGCCACCGCCGCCGCCGCCCTTAGCGCTCGCTGAGGACGCCTCCCGAGCCAACTCGGACCGCTACGCCGTCTACTGGAACCGCAGCAACCCCAGGTGAGCAAGGGCGGGGATGGGGTGCCGGGGGACCCCGGGTGCCCCCCCTGCCCGGCCTCCCCATCCTGAGTTCTGGGTGTCCCGTTCCCCAAGCGCGCTGCTTCCAGAATGGGGCGCCGGATCCCCACGGGAGACCACAGGGGTCCCATCACCCCCGGAGTTTGGGGGACTCACACTGCTCGTACATTCTTTCTGGGGTGCCCCATTGCCATGCAGTCTTGGGGCACTTGCGCCTGCATGGCCCAGTGCACTGACATCCCCAGGAATTTGGGGATCCCCTCTGGTACCCTCAGAAACTGCAGCCCCTTAAGTTCCCTTCCAGACTTGGGGGACCCCATCCTTGGGTCTATCCAGGGAAGGGAATCCCCGTTCAGAGTTGGTGGGGATCCCTAGGGACCTTGACACTGAGCTATGCCTGGTGATGGGGGACCATGGCCCCCCGTGTCCACAGGCACATCCTGCCAGCAAGTCCCCAGAATAACTTGAGGAAGTTGGAATGTCCCTCTTTACTGACCCAGAGTGCACCTTCACTCGGGGTGGGGGTGGGGGGGGTTCTGGTTCAGGCTTTGTAGGATAGGGAGACTGAGATACCTAGGTAGCTGGGGGTCAGTCCCAGGAATCTTGACCAGTAGTACCCTGGTCCATCCTCCTAGTGCTGATGGGGAAACTGAGGGGCAGAGGGGATGAGCAACTGGCTCAAGGTCATGGCAAGGGAGTAGAGCAGGGGCCGGGGCCCAGGTGGCCTCTTGCCCAGTCTTCCCAGGTGCCAACGCCTACCTGCCTGTACAACCTCCTCAGTGCTGGGCGCTGAGTACAATTTGGGGGGCAGCAAAAGCCTCCATTAGACAAAGTGAGAAAAGTTTGTTGGTGTCTGATCACATCCTGGACATCACCAGATCTTCCTCTGGACTGTCCCTGGGTCTCAAAGGCCAGAGTGGGCTGGGTGTCCCATGGGAGATAGGGCTCCAACATCCCATGGCTTTGTTGTCAGCTCCAGCCCTCAGGGTCACAGTTTTCCTGTTGTAGCAGGGCTGCACATGGGGGGCTTAGGCACCGGCCTCCCAACTCCCTACCCCTCTGCCACTGGTCACTTTCTCTCCATTTCCAAGCCCCGCTTAGTGCCCTTCTAAGCCTGCTGTCCCTCCACTGTTCCCTGCCATCCTCAAGTCTTTGGGCCTAAAGTTGCATAAACAGCAGTCTGTGAGGCAGACTCTGGGACAAGGGTGGCTAGTGTCCACAGTGGGGGTAGGGAGCGTGCCCAGACACTCCCCTCAGTTGCCCAGCTGCAGGGTTGGACCCTGGAGCCCAGGATAGAGACCCTGTGCCAAGGAGGGCCCACCAGGCCACCTTAGAACCCGTCCCCTCACCACTAGCCCCACTGGTCACATGTGGGTTTGATTAATACTCTTCCCTGTAGCTGGCTGAGCAGGGACCCCAGCGGGCAGTGCTTCCCGGCCCAAGTTTTTGGTTTCAGATCCAAAATTCCTGTCCCTGTCATAGCTTGTCCTTTGTTCTAGCAAATGCCAAACACACGAGGAGCCACAAACGAACCCGGGAGAACCAGGACAGAAGGAGGTCGTTGGGGCAGCCCTCTGCCCTACCTGCCACAGGTCTGTGCTGCTGGCAGGATCCTGGCAGGGAAAGGAGACACCCAGTGCTGGCTCTGCTGTCGCTCGGCCACCTCCTGTTGCTGACCTGACAGCCTTGTCTGAGGAGCCGCCTAAGGGGATGGCCTTGCTTGTCTGGTTGCAGGTCCTGGCTGGCATATCTTTCTCATATCCCTCTCCTCCTCCTGCTTAGGGTGTTCCAGGTGGGGGGTAACGCCCTGACAGCTTGTGATGGGGGTGGAGGTTGGGTGGGTTCAGATTGTTGCTCCATTCATTGCTGAGGTTGGGGTGCTCTACCAAAGAAGGACTTGGTGCCTGGGGACCCCTTGGGAGGTTGAGTGTCCAGAGGTGGCTGGACTGGAATCTGTGCTCAGTGATGAAGTGTCTCAGACATAGAAGAAGGGGTGGTGTTGGACCTCAGAGTCTGAGGGCACCCAGGAATGGAGCTTTCTCAAGGGCACCCAGTCTAGGGACCACAGCCTGGGGAGAGGCGGAGGGTCAGGGAGTAGGCCTGAAGTGTGAGGCAGTCCCAGGAACAGAGATGAGAGACAGGCCTGGTTGGGAAAGACAAGGAAGAGTCTTTTAAATTAGAGATCCGTGGCAATGGCAGGCTGGGGAAACAGAAACAAGAAAGAGGGTGTTGCTTAGCCTGAGGGGCACACACAAAAGGCACTGTGAGAAAGGGGACAAACCTAGGGCTGGGCAGCTTGAGCCAGGGGCAGACAGGCAGAAGAGAAGAGATAGCCTGAAGGGTGGCTGTGCTCAGATGGGTATGGACATGTATTGGTGGCATTGCAGTGAGGCCAGCCACCTTCACCTGGCTGGACCTGATATCTGCATTGAGATAGTAAGTGGGTGTTTCCTAAATTATGTCCTCCTGCTGTCTAGATAATTTTCTTCGGCCTCTGGACTTGGTCACAGAGGGAGCCCCACACCCACTTCTACTACTGTCATAGGGTGGGGCCTGGTCACCAGTCTAGCCACTCTCTCCTGGCACCCCCCACCAGCTGCTTTCCATCCCTGGGCTGGCCACTGGGCATCTCTGGGCCTGTCCCCAGCTGGGCGAGGCCGGGCTGGCTGCCCTCACCTAGCCTCACCACTGGCCGAATGTAGGGCAGCATGTGCATTTGTGTGCATGGGGGTTGCAGAGGATACAGAGTGTGTATGTGTTGATGCATGTTCTTGTCCCCGACATGCGGGGATCCTAGGGACCCCAGGAGGTGCATATCTGTGTGTATGGTGCATATGCTGGTCTGTGTGGCAGGGTGACACATGTGCCTACGTGTGCATGGCGACCCTGGCATGTTTGCACATGTGTCCGTGTAATTATGCCTGGAGTGCACATGTGTGGAGGGTATAACACATTTGCAGGAACATGCCTGTGTGTGGAATGTGTGTGGTGTCTAGGGGAACATGTGCCTATCTGCATTTGCATATTTGTGCACGGGGAGAATGTGTGTGTGTAGGTGTGGGTGCACATGTGTTTCTTTAGTGTGTCTGTGGAGAGAACATGTGTGTCTGTGTGTGCAGCTTAGCTCTGGCTGTCCCAAGGCCTCACTGATGGTGGCACAGTCTTGCCTTCCCTACCCACCGTTTGCCTCCTCCTTAGGCCAGGTGGGTCCCTGCTAGGGGACCTGTCCAGATCCCTTGGGCCCCATGCTACCTGTGGTGCAGAGGGGCCATTGAGGTTGACTGCGGATACCGTGCCAGGTGCCTTCCAACCCTCATACTCCCCACCTGACTGGAACACTACATCCAGACTGGACCCAGCCATGCCAACCTGGGTGGGGTGCCTACCTCCACCAGGTATCTTGGGCTTCGGCCACCCTCCCCTGGCCCTCCACTGGCTGGATTGCCCACGGCATGGGCAGTGGCCACATTTCCTCTCAAATGACCCAGTGGGAAATGGGGATTTGGGGACGATGTTTCTGTCGTGTAGGTGTGGGACCTTTGTCCCCATCCCCGACCCTGCCGGCCTTGCCTGGCCCTCTGGGGGGCTGGCTCTGAAGGGGCAATGCCATGTTATGCCGCATGAGGCTTTTTTGTTTTATTTGAAAGAAGCTCACCCTCAGGCTTGCGGGGCTTGGAGAGTGACACCAGAGGTCTGGGGACTTGGGGCCAGAAGGTGGGGTCCAGGAGGCCGTGGGAGGGCCTGGACTTGTACTTGCATTTGTAGGTACTGGAACCCTGGGTGTGATCTCAGGTGGGCAGCTTGGCTGCTCTGAACCTGTGTCTCCTCCATGAAGTAGGGACTGGCAGGCTATGCCCTTCAGCAAATGGCAGTAGGACTCTAAAGGGCACAGAAAGCCTCCTCCACAGAGAGGGGAAACTGAGGCAGCTCCTGTGGGCAAGAGGAGGGGCCTCTAGGGTCCCATATTCACAGTGACAGTGACATTCCAGGGTGGGGACAGCAATGCCAGGGGGCTGAATAGGGCAGTTTTGAGATGTTCCCACCTGCTGGGGATCTGGGCTCCCTCTATCTGGGTCTGAGCTAGGGTGCACAGGCCTCTTGTGGTCTGATGGCTGGTTGAGTCCTCCTGTCCTGTGGTCTGATAGGTGGTTGGGTCCTCTTGTTCCCAGCCTTGGTCTCTCCCCACCATGGACAGCCCTGGGTGGTCTCAGCAGAGGAAGAAATCGAGAGTCAGGGATGGAGGTTTAGGGCCAATAGTAGACATGAATGGATTTGGCCTCTACCTGCCTGGAAGCTGGGCTGGGAAGGGGGCTGGTGTCTCCTGCCCCCTCCCCCCCAGCAGATGTCCCCTCAAAGTTCACAGGTCCCTCAGGTCATGGGTGGAGGTGGCAGTTGTCCTGGGGGTGTTAGGTCTATTAATGGGGGTCTGGGAGGCAGTGATTTCTTTCTAAAAGCCCTTCTGCAGCCCCTGGGCCAGGCTGGGTGAAAGTCCCACCCCCTCAGTTAGGTTTTCTCCATGATACCCCATGATACCCCATCCCTCTACTTCAGGAATAGGTGACATGGCCAGCCATGCCTCACAGTGTCTCCCATCCACCGAGCGAGCCATGTGTGTGGGGGGAGAGCAGAGAAGGGCTGAGGTCCCACTATGCTGCCACCATCCTAGATTGTTGTGTGAGCACAAAAGTCATTGGGGTTTGTTTTCACTTTAATCAGACTTTGAACTTGGTGGCCAGCCAGACCCTGCTGCAGGTGGATCCCATGCCTGGCCCTGCACCCACCTGGCTATTGTGGGCACTTGGCCCATGCCTTGGTCTCCCTGTCAACCCCAGGATCTTGGCTTCAAGGGGCTCCATTCACCACACAGGCCAAGTTGCCCCCCAGCCATGTAGCCCCCTAACCCACCCACCCTATGCCTCCATTACCTGGAGTAAGTGAGTCATCCAAGGCCATGGAGAAGCTGGGCCCAACTGAGTGTCACCCCTCTCCAAGAGGCAGCAGGTCTGTGGCTGGCCAAGGAGTGTCAGGTAAATTGCATGAATTCTGGGGGAAGAGGAGGTGTGTTCAAGACACGCCTATGGAGTGTGCATCTGGGCCATGTCTTACTGAGACTGAAGCCCAGGGCTGGAGCTGATTGTGTCCACTCCTCACCTATTGTCCCATCCTGCCCCATATTTTTCCTCTTGCTTTGGCTCTGGAGCCCCTGCACTCAGTGTATCCCCTGTACCCACAAGGCCACACATGTTTCCGACCCTGTACTACTTTGGGGCCCTAATTTTCCCTGAGGTCCCACCCAGCTATTCCCTTCCTGGTGGCCAGGCCTCAAATGGGGAAATGTCTTCTTGGCCCCTCAAAACCCTGGGGGTGGGCACTGAGGCCTCAGGGGCCTCACTGGGGGCGGCAGGCAGGTAGGTATAAGTGAGTGGACTCTGCCCCACTAGGGTGACAGATGGGCATCCAGGGCCCTAGCATGCTGCCCACCTCAGTTTCCAGTCTGGGAAGTCACCCCCCCCCCCCATTTTGGATGAGATCCCTAATTAGCCGCTTTCCTATTAGCTTCTAATGACTTGACAATTGCCCAATTGGAGCTAATTAGCAGCTTGCCAGGTGGTTGCGAGGAAGGGGCAGCTGGCAAGGTTGGGGTGATTGTGAAGGGCAGGTCAGGGAGCCCTGATGGCTGAGGGATCACCCAGGGCTAGGAGGGCTACCTGGCGGAGCAGACTTTGGCAGGATGATCTAGGTGGAGGCAAAGATGTGGTTGGCGGGAGTGGGGGAGGGAACAGGAGGTCTGAAAGCCTGGGGAACCCTCTGCCTAGGAAAGATCCCGTCAGTCACTAACCCCTTAGTGAGAATTTCCATCTCCATCTGCTGCAGCCACGGAGTATTTTAGTATCAAGCTAAGGCCCCAATGAAGGAAATGTATTGCATGCACCAGGACACCAGGCACCAGGCTCAGTTTGGGGGTTTGGCCTCTTCCCCCACACAGGCAGGAGTGAGGCTCCTGCCCTTGACTTGCTAGCCAACTTGGAAACAGGAATGCCAACACAGCAAGGCTGTCACTATTTTAGAGCCAGGAAGGGGGAAAAATGGCCCACTTAATCGGCCAGAGTTCAGGTGGCAGTGGGGCTTCTGTGACACGCCTACCTGGGGTCTTCTCTTCCCTATGTGAGGGCCAATGTTTGCTCCCCCACACTCTAACACCTTGAATCCTTGGCCTTTGTTTGATCAAATATGTATTAAGCACCACTTTATAGGGTCTGTGTTTGGTCACCAGGAAGGGGCAGAAAAGGAGGCTGACCCACACGGTCCAAGAGGGGCAGGCAGTGGACTATGTAGAGGTAAAACTATGATGTTATTATAATGAGATACGTGATAAGGTGGGGAAAAGCATTCTAGGCAGAGGGAAGAGCATGTGCAAAGGCCCTAGGGTGGGAACAGAAACAGCCAGAGGCTGGTGTGGCTGGAAGGCTGGCAGAGGTTGATGGTGCCTGTGTCAGGGCCACACGGGGCCTTGTGGGCCTGGGAGGACTGAGGTTTATTCTGAATGATGGGGAGAGATTTGAGCCACTGGATCACAGAATCTGATTGACATTCAGAAAAGTGAACCCTGGATTTTGGGAGGCCAGGAGACTGGTGGGCCTGGTGGGGCACAGATGTTTAACGATGAAGAGAGAATGATGGTGGTGTCTGGCACCAGGGGTGGGGGCAGGTGTAATGGGGACACAGGCAGAGTTGGAGGGGGAAGAAGAGTCATGCTGTGGCCCCACCTTCCTGAGTTCATTCTGTTCTCAAGAAAGCCCTGCAGAGAGCCACGCTTTCTTTCAGCCTACATGTATATCCCCAGGCATCGTGCTGGGGATGGGAAGGGAAACTGAGGCCCAGAGGTGTTGGGGACCAGGACAGCAGCCCATCCAGCCTGGCACTCCCTCTCTAGTTTCCCCATCATGGTCTCCCCTACAGGGCCTGGCATGGGTACCAGCCAGTCCATAAGTGGATGCTCAGCTGCCGCTGCCACTGCCATTGATTGACTGATCAGTGGGGCTTGCAATGGGGCTGGAAGGAACGAAAATGACTTTTCAAAAAGCCTGGAGCAACTTCTGCATCAGTCAAGCCCAAGGGGCTGGAGAACATGGATCCTCAATGAGACACCCATGCCTGGCCAGCCTTGGGGCAGCCTGAGGGATGGGCAGAGTCCAAGGCTGACCCCCACTTCCTGAGTCTAGCTGCCAGGCACATTTATTCTACAAAATCCCTTCCCACTTCTATGGGGGTGGGATGAGTTCCCCATCCCTGGACAAACCCAATAGAATGGGGAAGGGGCTGGGGGAGAATTTGTTCCTTCTAGCTCCCAGAACTGAAATACTGTGGGCCTCTATCTTAGCTATAACTGAAAATCACTGCTGTAGTGATGGATGGGAAACTGGGGCACCAGTGAGCAGGGTCTTCTGCCTGCCTCATCTCCACCTCTGGGGGTCCCAGGAGCCTTCGCCTCGCCTGGTACAACATCTCAGGGGCAGTTGGGGGGCCAGCCTCTACCATCTAATAATCCGGTTGCCTCCTCAGGTCCCAGCTATGCTAATTAGTGCTACTGGCAGGGGGGCCACGCTGTGCTCCCTCCCACGGTCTGGGGCTGATGGGAGGGTGGGTACAGAGGCAGTGGCAGGGCTGGGATCCCAGCAGCCTGTGCCCTTCCTGCTGTCCACCCTGGCCAAGCCTCAGTTTCCCTACCTACACTCCAAACCTCAGTGCTTAGGCTTTTTTTGTGCTAATAAGCCCCTAAGACCCCCTTTGGTCCAGGCCATCCAGGCTTCATTATATGACGGGGACCCGGGAACCATATCTGGAAGATATATGAGCTCTTGGCGCTGTAACCCAAGGTGGTGATGGAAGGGAAACTGCCAGTCTCTGGCTCAGCTGACCTCCATCCTCACAAGACAAGGCTGGGTCTGGAGGGCTCCCCCAGGAAAGGGCTTGGACTTCATGACAGTCTAAAGCAGGGGTTCTCAACCTGTGGGTCGTGACCCCTTTGCTGGTCAAATGACCCTTTCACAGGGGTTGCCTAAGACCATCAGAAAACACATATTTCCAATGGTCTTAGGAACTGAGACACCGCTCCTCTATCCCTCTCCAGGCGGGTTTGCCCACATGCAGATATGCCCACATACAACATGAGGAACTGTATTAAAGGATCGCGTGGCATTAGGAAGGTTGAGAACCACTGGAACTTTCTGCCAAAGGCTGGGAGTCAGGACTTGGGGGCAGAGATGTCATGGGTGGATGAACCTGATGGAATGACCAGGAACTTAGGGAGCAGCTGCCAGATTCCTGAGGTCCCAGAGCAAGGATGCAGGACTCGCTGGGGTCACACAGGATGGAAGGGGTGGGGCTGGGACTCGAACTCAGGGCACCTCTGAGCTAGGCGGAGAGAGTGCCTGAGAGTTCTAAACTATAAGCCCTGCCACCTGTGGGAAAACTGAGGCAGAGCTTGCCCAGAGAAGGCCGGAACTCCCGGCTTGTGTCCCTGGCCACCTGGGGCCTTCCTGGCAGGCGGCTCTGCAGAAGAAAAGCTAAGGAGGTTGCATATGATGGGCAGGATGGGGTTTATCTGGAGAAGGAGGTGTCCAAGTTAAGCCTTAACGTTTCTGGAGAAGGCTTTCCTGGTGGGAGAACTGCTTTTGCAAAGCCTGTTTGCCAAGAGGGGCCCAGATGTTGGGCCTGGGGGGTTGTGGAGGGCGGGGGGGTGTGTGTGCGCGCGCCTGCGCTTGCTACCGAATCACGTGGTACATGCTCGTTTGCATGTTACCCAGAATGCCTGGTGGTAATCTCTCCTTCCCAGCTCCATCCACGTTGTGGGCAGCGGGCTCAGGCTCCTGCCAGCTGACCGATCTGCTAAGCCAGGGGCCTCGGGGGTGGGGCCAGACAGGGGACCCTGGGCTTGCACCCTGGAACCTCTCAGCTTCTACCCAGCGGTTTCCTAAGACCACCCCCCCCCCCACCGCGTGCTGTCCACGCCCCCGCGTAGACCACCCCCCTCCCGTTTCCTATCCCTTGGCCTCGTTCTTGCTCTGGCACCTCCCGTTAGGCTTCATATTGCCGACCCGGCTCGGTTGCTGGCATCTGGGCCCGCCCCCGAGCTGGCTCCGCCCCGCGCTGACCCAGGCTCGGCTTCCAGGTTCCACGCGGGCGCGGCGGACGACCGCGGGGGCTACACTGTGGAGGTGAGCATCAACGACTACTTGGACATCTACTGCCCGCACTATGGGGCGCCGCTGCCACCGGCCGAGCGCATGGAACACTACGTGCTGTACATGGTCAACGGAGAGGGCCACGCCTCCTGCGACCACCGGCAGCGCGGCTTCAAGCGCTGGGAGTGCAACCGGCCGGCGGCGCCCGGGGGCCCGCTCAAGTTCTCCGAGAAGTTCCAGCTCTTCACGCCCTTCTCGCTGGGCTTCGAGTTCCGCCCGGGCCACGAGTATTACTACATCTGTGAGTGGGCGGGCGGGGCTCCAGGAGAAGGCGGGGAAAGGGGCGGGGTCGGAAACCAGGAGTGGGGTGAGGGCCGGGGATGGGATGCCAGAGCGTGGTCCCGCTCTGGCCTCTGTCCCGGGGGTCAGCCTTTTGGGTGGTCTCATTATCCTCCCAGCAAGTCCCGGAGGCCCCACTGTCAGAGTCCTCATTTTAACAGGTTGGGAAACAGGCTCAGAGCCGGGTTGAGACCACACGTGACCTCAGCCACTGGACCTCTGGGCTGGGGGAGCCGATGACCCCACCGTCAGTTAGTCTGTCTCACACTCAGACCAGGGCTACCCAGCCTTCAAAGCACTGAGAGGGGAAAGGCGTCTGGTGGGAGAGTGGAGCTTGGTCAAAGCCAAGGGAGAGGGTAGAGCCCTTGTTCTGCCCAGCACATCTTGGCTTGGACAGGGGTCTCCTGGGCCCTATCACTACCACACCACATCACCGCCTGTTTTGGGGAAAGGACCCAGCTCCTCCACATTCTGACTCCTGCTGTGTGAAATTAAACTCCACAAGGCCCCATTTCCTCCTTTTCTGCTCTATTTGGACTTTTTCCTTTAAAAAAAAATCCTTTTCATTGATTTCTAGAGAGTGGAAGGGAGGGAGGGAGGGGGAGAAAGAGAAAGACACACATTGATCTGTTGCCTCCCGCTTGTGCCCCGACCAACGAGGGGGATTGAACCCACAACCCAGATGGGTGCCCTTGACTGGCAATCAAACCCAAGACCCTTTGGTCCGCAGGCCAATGCTCTAACCACTGAGACAGATCGGTCAAGGCTGGACTTTTGCTTTTAATTCAGGGACAAAAGGGGTGGATGTGGGAGAAGAAGGTGTTTAAATTAAGTCCTATAACATAAGAAAAATTACATTTTCTTTCTGAGATGGGAGTTTCATAATTATTATAATTATTTTCTATCTCTCTGACAAATGTTATTTTTATTACCTGCTTTTTATTTTCATCTCCCAGAGTGAGGGGCTTCTGGGGTGTGTGGCAGAGGTGTCTGCCAAAGATGGGACAGTCTGAGAGGACAGGTGGGGACAAGCTATAGCTCTGTGGGTACCCACACCTATTAACATGTGTGCTCCTTGCTGGCCCCCTCCCTTCTGATTCATGGCTGAGCTGTGTCACTATCCCTGTCCCTATCCAGGGCCCTCGTCATTTTGGCCAGGAAGCAGGGAGAAATAATGGTGGCATTTTAGGCATGAGGACCCAGTGTGCTTCCACTTCCACATGACCTCTGCAGTGTGGGTTTCTCCAGAAGTGGAACCAGCTTCCCTCCCAGGGTAACTGGCTTCTGTTGTCTTCCAGATGGAAATAATCATTTCCAAAATACCTACTGTGTGTCAGCTGAGGCCCAGATAGGGGGTGATCATTTGGTTACACTGAGTTTTGTCTGATCAATTGCAAACAAATGTATTTTTATCTATCACCTTTGAACCTTGCTCTGTGCTGCTCTGGGGTAAGATGGAGCTAGACACAGACACCTCTAGTTTCTGGGGTTAGAGTTCAACAAAGGGAGCATCAGGAGACATGTGCAGGAGGACTTCCCGGGGCTTTGATATATAATTAGTATTATGAGTGGATCCTCACTTTGGAGTCAAGGTTGAGGCACCAGCCTGGGGAAGTGGATTACAGTGATAGGAGGTCTTGGCCACTGAGAACTCCCTGCCCCACTAACCTACTGTCCCTTTCTTCCAGCTGCCACACCACCCAATGCTGTTGACCGGCCCTGCCTGAGGCTGAAGGTTTATGTGCGGCCAACTAGTAAGTACTCAGGGAGTCGGGCAGGATCCAGGTCCCCACGCCTCATTGAGAACCCATTGATTAGTAGAGTCAGGGGTTGATTACAGCATGCTTGAGGAGTGCCACAACCTCAGCAATGGCAGGCTCACCCTTGAGCCTCACTTTCCCCATCTGCAAACCAGTATAACATTTCAGACCTTCAAGAGTAAAGGTTGAAGCCCTTTGCCAGGCCCCCTCACTGAGGCCATATCCCCTGGGTGCGGGCATCAGGAAGTTTCCTGAGATGGACCAAAGGGCCAGTGTTCTGAGCTCTTGAAACACCAGAGCCACACCCAGAGACAAGGAGGCTCCTGTAGCCTTGAGACTTCACCCAAGTGCCAGGCACACGTTAGTTGCATGCCACCTATTTACCTGGATGTGTACTGGAGGTACAGCCCCAACTAAGGGTGGACAGAAATCTCAGTTCCCCGAGGGGCAGCCAGTTTTGAGATATTTAATGATCAGGTTGGGATAAGCTCTAGGAAGCAGTAGGAAGCAGATGGGGGCAGTGGCCACTTAGGGTAGGATGTGAGCTGTCACTGACTATTCTGTCTCTGTGTCCCCCAGACGAGACCCTGTATGAGGCCCCTGAGCCCATCTTCACCAGCAATAATTCATGCAGTAGCCTGGGCAGCTGCCAGATCTTCCTCAGCACTGTCCCGGTACTCTGGACCCTGTTGGGCTCCTAGTCCCGGCCAACAAGTTTCTGGCCCCACCTGGACGACCAAATCCAAGACCAAATAGACACGCCTGGCTCCCACGACTGGTGCTGCCCCCCACTACAGGGGCCTGTCTACCTGCTCCAGAACCAGCCCCAAGGATGGGGCAGCCAACAGCCCCTCATGCCCAAGGGGCAGGGTGTCAGCACAGCCCCTGGCCAGACTATCTCATCAGGGGCACTGGAGAACCTGAGAAACTATCAGTGATATTGTTTTTTTGTTTATTTTTCATGGTTGGATCAGAAAAGCTTGAGTTTTTAATTTAATTTATTCCTTGCTGTCTCCAGTGACTTTGGGAAGGAAACAATGTATGGGGGGGGGGTCCTTGGCCCTTGAGGGATGGGGAAGGAGAACCCCTAGTCTGGTTGCTCCATTTGTTGGGTCATGGCTAAAGGCCACTGCAGACCCCCAGGTGCCCCAAGACAGGCCAGTATGAGGCAGAAAGGGCAAGGTGAGACCCCCCCAATTCTGGCCCAGGAATCTGAGCCCACCTCAGACTTCTGTTTCCCCAGCCCCAACCTCCTCATGCCTTGTGATTGTCTCCCTGCGGGGAAACCCATGCTGTTTCATCAGAGGCCACTGTGGAGTCCCAGCCCACTCAATCATAGTTCCCCACCTTATTCCACAGCCTCTCACGATCGCCTCTGTGCCCAAGAAGATGTTTCTTTTCTGTAAATAGAGCCAGGAAGTATATACTGTGGTTTACTGTATTCCTGAGGACGAACTGGACAGTTTTTTATGTTTTTTTCTCACACCTTCATGGGGGTCTTTTATTTTGGTGGGAGGGTGGGGTGGACTTTTTAGAGTAGAAGCCGCACTTTGCAATAAGCTTGTTTGTCTGTCAGAGCCCCCTTCCTCTACTCTATGACTAATAATGTTTATAAGAAAAGAAAACAGGACACAACAAAATGGGGGGATGGGCCTGCCACCAAAAAAAGAAAACCCCTCCCAAAGACACTTGAATGAAGCAAGCAGCGCATTTATACAGATTTCATATTTCTACCAGCCTTTCCTGATCTGTGTTTTATATATATTATATATAAATATATATGGTTCACAGCTGCTGGGAGACCACCAGGCGTGCCAGCTTGGGGGCATTTTGTAGGGGTTGGCATGGGTGGGTGGTGGTGTTGCCACGCCTGGAGCTGGCAATAGGGCCTCCCCCATCCCTTCACAATCAACTTTGGATTCTGTATTTTTTAATAATAAAATGAGCATAAACCTCTAGGATGTGCATCTGTGTTAAGGGCCGGTGACCCTCATTGGAGGAGTGCTTTGAGCTATTAATTTGGGAGTCAGCTTCCTGCTACAGAGGGGTATCCTAGAGGACTGGGGATGATCATGATTGGGTCTGTAGTTCTGTGCATCTTTTGGGGGCCGAGCATTTTATGGGGTGTTATATCCTTCCTTGCCACCAATGGGCCTTGGTTTTTCCTCTTCTGAGAAATGGGAAGGAGCCCATCCCCCTGAGGCCCCTGGGAGGATGGAGGAAAGATGCTAACTCTGAGTACACAGCAGGGGCTTATTAGGTGTCCCTTTGAGCATGTGATGGGTCTCTTAGGAACCACATTCTGTGACATCTCCATTGCCAAGCTCTGTTGCTATATGAATTAGTTTCCCTAACTGCCTCAAGCCAGGGCAGAGGGTCTGTCTGTCATCTCCTAATCCCTTTCTGGTTTTGCAAAAAGCATGTGTCAGTGGGTGTGGGGTCCCAGGGGCCTTCACCCCAATCTAGCCCCAGATGAAGGCACAAAGAGGCAGGGGGCTACCCAGCAGATCTGAGGGTCTCTGGTCTTCAAGGCTGCTCATGTCTTGGTGCCGCCCCCCGGGGACTGCAGCATCTTGGGCACAGTTTGCCAAGAGAGAAGGTTCTCAGCTAATGAATGTGGCCGCGCTGGGCTTGGCGACAGGGGCTGCCTCTTAATGAGGCCAACCAACAGCACAAAGACCCCTGTGTGTGCCCTGCCTACCCCTGCCCAGTGGCAGGGGGTAGAATGTGCGTGCCCGCTGAGTACCATCAGGGAGCTCTTAGGGTCCCCCACCACAAGGTAAGGACCCCAGGGCTCCACTGTAGCCACAGGATCAGAGAAAGCTACAGGGAGAGAATTAAATGCAGGGATCATGGGACTGAATTTAGCAGTTGACTCTGATTTTGTTATTTAAAAAAAATTGAGATATAATTCACATACTACACCATCCATCCATTTAAAGTAAAATTTCACAAATTTTAGTACATTTACAGGGTTGTGGAACCACCCTGATTCTAACTCCAGAATCTTCCATCACAACCAAAGAAACCTGTCTACATCAACAGTGACCCCAGCCCCTGACAACTATGAACCCAGTTTCTATCTTTGAATTTGCCTGTCCTGAACATTTCACATGAATGGAATCACATACTGTATAGCCTTTTGTGTCTGGCTTCTTATACTGAGCATCATGTGTTCAAGCTCCATGTCAGTGCTTTACTCCTTTTCATGGTTGAGTAATATTCCAGTGTGTGGATGGACCACGTGTTTATCTGTTCATCTACTGAAGTACTTTTGGGTTGCTTCTACCTTTTAGCTATTACAAGAATTTAAAAATTATTTAAACTATTATTTTGTTTTAAATTGAGATAATATATAACACTGTGTAGGTTTAAGATGTGCATGTTGATACACATTTTTTGTTGTTTTTTCTTTTTTCTTTATTGATTAAAATAAAGTTTTTTTCTTTATTGAGTTTAGAGAGAGAGGAAGTGAGAGGGAGAGACAGATAGAAACATCAATGAGAGAACATCAATTGGCCGCCTCCTGCATGCCCCCCACTGGGGATTTGGCCCACAACCTGGGCGTGTGCCCTGACCAGGAATTGAACCAGCAACCTTTTGGTGCATGGGTCGACGTTCACCCACTGAGCCACACCTACTGGGCTCTTTATTGATTTTAGAGGGAGGGAGAGGGAGAGAGAGATAGAAACGTTGATGAGAGAGAACATCTACTGGCCACCTCCCGCATGCCCCCCACTGGGGGTTGGGCCCACAACCTGAGCATGTGCCCTGACCAGGAATTGAATCAGTGACCTCTTGGTGCATGGATCGACGCTCAACTACTGAGCTACACTGGCCCGGCTTTTTTGTTTATTCTTACATTTTTTTTGTTAATCCTCACCCGGGGATATTTTTTCCATTGATTTTTAGAGAGAATGGGAGAGAGGGAGGGAGGGGGAGAGAGAGAAAGAGAGAGGGATCAATGTGAGGGAGACATATTAATTGGTTGACTCCCACAAGCACCTGGACCAGGGCTGGGAATCAAACCTGCAACCCACATACATACCCTTGACTGGGAATCAAACCCTTGACCTTTTGGTGTGCAGGCCGACACTAACCACTGAGCACCAGCCAGGGCAATATTATACATCTACATACTGCAATATGATAACCACTTCATATTTTTGAGACTGTTTTAGCACAAATAGTGACCTTGGATGGGTATATACAGAATAGCTCTGTTCCTGCCTCGGGACCTTGGCACTTGCTGTGCTCCCTGTCTGGTACATCACTGCCTGGCTCTCAGCTCCTTCAGATCAGGTCAAATGTCACCTCTTAACCTCCCTGGCCAAGTAGCCACTCACCCCATGTCAAATCTCTGATTCTTTAAAAAAAATTTTCTTTATTGATTTTAGAGAGAGAGGAAGTGAGAGGGAGAGAGAGATAAAATATTGATGAGAGAGAACAATTGGTTGCCTCCTGCATGCCCCCCACTGAGGTTTGGGCCCACAACCTGGGCATGTGCCCTGACAGGGAATCGAACTGGCGACCTCTTGGTGCATGGGTTGATGCTCAACAACTGAGCCACACCGGCCGGACTAATCTCTGATTCTTTACTTGTCCATCTCCCCCACAAGCTGGGATCTCCCAGAGTGTAGATACCCAGTCTGCTGGGGCATCACTGGAACCCAGTGCCTGGCCACAGTCTTCCCTCAGACTTGTCATTTGCCACATGTGCAGACATGCATACATATACGTGTTGCACAACTGCAGGCACCATGTACTATTAGACACATTTGGGGCCCAGGTCTCTCTGAAATCACCCTGTCCCTCAATGGCAACTCATCACTGCCTCAGGGGCCACCATCAACGTGCAGAGTGGCCATCCCCAGGCTGCATTGTGCAGAGCTGGGGACCCCAGCCGCAGCTGATACCCAGAGGCCACTTAAAAGCCTCCTGGTGGGTGCTCATACAACTCAACAAAAGGAAGACAAAGAACCCAATTAAAAAATGGGCAGAGGAGCTGAACAGACACCTCTCCAAACAGGACATACAAATGGCCAAGAGACATATGAAGAAATGCTCAACATCACTAATCATCAGAGAGATGCAAATTAAAACAACAATGAGGTATCACCTCACACTTGTCAGAATGGCCGCCATCAACAAATCATCAAACAAGTACTGGCGAGGGTGTGGAGAAAAGGGGACTCTAGTACACTGCTGGTGGGAATGCAGACTGGTACAGCCACTATGGAAAACAATATGATGTTACCTCAAAAAATTAAAAATTGAACTTCCATTTGACCCAGTGATCCTGCTTCTAGGAATATACCCTAAGAAGCCTGAAACACCAATCGGAAAGAATATATGTACCCCCATGTTCATAGCAGCACTATTTACAATAGCTAAGACCTGGAAACAACCAAGTGTCCATCAGTAGACAAATGGATAAAAAAGCAGTGATACATATACACGATGGAGTACTATGCAGCTGTAAGAAAGAAAGATCTCTTATCCTTTGAGACGACGTGGAGGGACCTGGAAAGTATTATCCTAAGTGAAACAAGCCAAACAGAGAAAGACAAATACCACATGATCTCACTTATATACGGAATATAATGAACATAACAGTCTGAGGAATAGGGTAGACCCAGAAACACGGAAGTAGGGTACAGACTGACATCCCTCAGAAGAGGAGGTGATGGGGGTGGGAAGAGATAAACCACAGAACTTATATGCATGTACGCATAACCAATGGATATGGACAACAAAACCGGGGTCGGGGCGGGGGGGATGGGGATGAGGGTGCCAATGGGGTAAAAAAGGAGAAACATCTGTAACAAAAAAAAAAAAGCCTCCTCGTGGCCATCTGTATGGGGCTATGGGTATGTTGGCCTCCAAGCAGAGCCTTTTCCATCCCAGAGGTTCCAGAGGAACATTATTTCCCTCTGTCAGGCCCCACCTCAGGCAGGGAGTCCAGGAGGCATGGAGGGGAGTCTAAGGCTCCTCCTGCCCTTCTGGCTGTTCCCGTGGAGCCACACCTCTCCCCTCAGGCCCCCTCAGTTTTGTAGTCATCTTAGTGTGTGGGAGGGACACGCCCTTCAGCTGTAGGACAAATGCCTCACAGCCCCTTCTCCAGTTCCTTCTCTGGACCCCGGTGTCCTATCTACATTCCTGGGCCCTGCCCTTGGCTCTCCCACTGTGACCATGAAGGAAGGGGCTCACCTCTCATCCCCAGGACTGGCTTTTAGGGGTAGGATCAAGCCCCTTGACCACAGCCACAGAGCTGGAAGCCCCCATGCCAGAGGAAAGGGCAGTCTCAGCAACCCCAGGGTTCAGCCCTTCTCCAGTCCTCTCACCTGTTCCTCCCCCCTCAACACCCTCCTACTCACTGGTGGGCTCCCACCTCCCACCTCCCAGGTCTTTGCTCTGGCGGTGCCACCTGCCTGGTACACCCCCACCTCCTTTCAGCTTTCCTCAAATGGCCCTCCTCAGACCCTCCTGAGGCCCTCCCTTGCTTCCTCCCTGGTTTTCTTCTCTGGCATTTATTCATCAGCCCTCAGGCACTCCCTATATTTTCTTCTTTTTTTAAAATTTATTTATATCCTCACCCAAGGACATTCCCCCCCCCCCCCATATTTTGTTCAGATAGAGTGGGAGAGAGAGAAACATCAACGCGAAAGGGACACATCAAGTGGTTGCCACCCACAAGATGCAACCAGGGCAGGGGACAAACTGCAACCGAGGTACTTGCCCTTAGCGGGAACCGAACCCGGGTCTCTCCAGACTGCAGGCCAACACTCTAACCGCTGAGCCAAACCGGCCAGGGATCTTCTTTCTTTCTTTCTTTCTTTCTTTTTTTTTTTGTTCAGATAAAGTGGAAGGGAAAGAGAGGAAGAGAGAGAGAAACATCAATGTGAAAGGGACACATCGAGTGGCTGCCACCCGCACGACC